CAAAAATATTGTCATTGGTACAAGACGGAGCCCTTTCATAGTACCCGCCAGATCCTAAATAAAGTACAAGATTTTTTGGCAAGGCATTTATCAAATAAACAATTCTTAACTGTTTATGGGAACGTGACCTCACATTCCATGCCTCTTTGAGACGACCTGCAGACCTCGCTACCAGCAAATCAGGAGAATATGGTGCAGCGAGCGCCTTGAAGAGAATATGAATTGGAATGCTGTTATCTTTACTGATGAGTCGCGTTTCTGTCTGTATAGTAATAGCAGGCGCCGAAGAATCTACCCGAGAACAGCTCCAGCTACAATGCTCCAGTTCGTGCTCCCTTTAGTGCAGTTTGCAGAGGCGGTGTAAATGGTCTGGGCTGGGATTTACACTGGAGGACGAACTGGACTCCATATTGTTGAAGGAAACATCATCGCAGTCCATTATGTCCAAGAAATTATCGAGGAATACACTCCTCAAACCAGGCTCTCATTGGCAAAGATTTTCGATTTCTGGATGACAATGCCAGACCTCACAGAGGTAGAGTTGTTCATCTATGTTTAGAAAAGCCTCGAATTTCCCATCTACTCAAGTAGGCTTAAGCAGAAAAGGGTTTTCGATCTCCATCCGCAGCCAGTTGACCTTCAACAGCTGAGGGCAGCGTTGCAACATCTATGGATTGAAATTTCTTATGAAATTAATGTTAAATAGTAGTGTGTTTATTAGTAGTTCATCAATGTTTAGAAAACCTAGCAATTTCCCATCTGCCTCATCCCCCATTGTCTCCAGTTCTCAATACCAATGAGCATATGGGGGAAGCGTTGCAGAGTAGGCTTTTCGATCACCGTCTGCAGCATACCGTCATAGCATGACCTGCAACTACTGAGCGCAGCGTTGTAACATCCGTGGAGTGAAATTCCTTATGAAATTACTGACCACCTTATTAAAAGTACGCCTAACAAGGGCACACAAAATGGTTTAACAGGCATTAATTGTTTTAAACAAATTATTGTGCCCGATAAACAAAATTATGAAATTAAAACCTTTCATTTTGTTAGTTTTCAAAATCCCTTAATTAAATTTTCCTTTAGTAAAAACATAATGATTTCTATTAAATTTTAATGCAATTCATAATAAAAATAATATAAAAGGCTATGGAAAGTAAATACTACAAAATTAGCAATATCCCTATTCATTTTTTAACAGTTTTGCCTGAAAAACGTATGCCGACGGGACTTTTTGATCTTACTTAATTGATAACCTTATTTAGCTAATTGACGTTGTGATCTCGTTCACTATTTACAAGGTCCAACAAAGCTTCGTTTAAGTTCTAAGACCAAAAAAGCACGTTTTCTCCAACATCTTTGAAAATATCTCAGAAACTATTACTTTTTTGCGAAAAAATGAAAAGGACTTCCTAGGCTTGATGCATGTTGAGATGAACAGCCCTAAATAACCCATTTTTCATAAAAAAATTTTACCCCCCTATGAAATAAATTTACGTATACAAACAAATAAAATAAAATTTAAAACAAGAAAATCATTTGTATTATTTAAAAAATCCTTCTTTTCTATGTTTTAACGACAGTCGAAAGGATTCTTGCCGCGATGTCCACTCACGAATTCAAAAATCACTGCAAAATCTTATCGTTTTGATTTAATGAACCAGTTCAGTTTAAAAAAGTGAATTATCGATAAGATCGTCACGATTTTTAAAAAGTTGATAGTTTATATATGAAATCATGAGTAATTCATCAATTGAAGCAGGAGTGATTTTTCTTCCTTTTAAACTATTCCAAATACTATGATTAAATATTTATTTTTGTATCTTACAAACAACGAATAAATCTTTGAGTTATATGCTTTTTGTAAATAAATTGGGTGGCTAAGAACTAGAAAATATTTTCACAAAAATTACTTAAACAAAAAAAGCATAAAAAAGAAAGTACAACACAATCACATCATTTATTTCATTCATTCTTCCTAATAGTGAATACGAATGAAACGATAACATGTAAAAACGAGTAAAAATTTTTTTAAACATATAAATGGCAAGAAGAGCGTTGTAATTTTATTGCATTTCCTCATTCGAAACAGAAAGGAAAAACTGTTCGCGGATGGTACCTTGAACCCCAGGCAGAGTGAAAAGTGTGTAGCAACTCTCCTGGGAAAACAGATTCCAACGCTCGTGCAATCATATTTATAAACCTCGTCTTTGCTTCAATCTGCAAGGGCATCGTGTGTATTAGACACCGGGTGCAATTATACACAAGAATCCACAAACGAGCAGTTCTCACAGCCGTTAAGCAATGCGTCGCAGATACGAAAAACAGTTAAATTAATAGGCGATGTATAAGTAGAATTGCACGCTTCTTGCGTTTCCCCCTTTATAAACGGCCCATCTTATTTGTTCTACATCCTAGAGTTTAAAATAATGTTTCAAAAAAATATCCTGTTTAAAATTGCCCAGAAATAGAGTTAAAGCAAGCAATTTCAAAAGACTATATTTCAGTTGTTATTTGTTTTTATGCCGACTCTTTTCATTTTTTAGGCCATTCATTTTCTATTCTATTTCGTTATATCTACTTAATAGGTTTTTCAATGCTTTAAACTCCAAACCAAGGGCGGATCCAGGGTGGTCATCATGGGGGGGGGGGAATTTCGATTTTTATAAGGCACAGAAGACTTAAAAACGTGTCAATCGAGAGAAAATTCTGCACATCGTTTTTCGGCTCAACGCATTACTTTTTCCTCCTTCAAAGGGACAAACTGAAAAAAATAACTTGATTTAAAAGTTTCAGTACTTTAATTTAAAAAAAGAACATATTTTTCATATATTTCTAAAATGTTTTCCACGAATATAGAATATTAATCACCAACTTAAAGGTTATCTATCACATCGAGAGATCGAATAAGAAAATTAGAGGCAGAAATCAGAAAAGCACCAGAACCATGTCCAATCACGAAAAAATCATGGTTTGCAATGTTATGTTTTAGCACAAAACAAAAACAAAAAAACCCTCACGGCAGTATGGAGTGAGAGGTATATTTCTTTCTTTTGCGGAATCAATCCAGCTATGCTAAAAATTTACTATTTTAAAAATTATAGAATAATTTGAAAACCATGGGTACATATTAATATTTATTTTATACAAAACGTAACATCATAAACATATTGCAATAGGTTAAAAAATTAATCAATTGTTTTAGTTTCTTATTAACAGCTGGCGTTAAATTAGATTCGGGCCATTTTTTCCTAGACCACTGAAAATAGTGAAAATAAAATAAAGTTCATTCATTTCGTGGTTCGCTTGACCAATTAATATATTACAATTAATTAAGGCTTTTAGTTGAGATAAAAAGTCAGTGTCACGAGCGGGATTCGAACCCACGACCTTCGACTAACTACGCCGCTGCTCTACCACTTGAGCTATCGTGACCTCGATCCACTTGGACACAACTTCCCATCTCAACCCCACCTTTTGAATTTTCCCTCTTTTTTGTCATTTTTCCACCATAAAATAAAGGTTTACTAGTTAACTACGTAATTTGAAATTTTATTTAAGCTATTTAATTAATTATTTTCTCGCGTTACTTCACTATTACTTTTTTGTAACAATGGGAGATTTATGGAAAAATACGTGTGGTGGCCACTCCATATTTAATAATAATTCACTAGTTTTGGTGATCCGCTTGACCAATTAATATCTTTCAATTAATTAAGGTTTTTAGTTGAGATAAAAAGTCAGTGTCACGAGCGGGATTCGAACCCACGACCTTCGACTAACTACGCCGCTGCTCTACCACTTGAACTATCGTGACTTCGATCCCCTCGGACACTAACTTCCCATCTCAACTCCACCTTTTGAATTTTCCCTCCTTTTTGCCATTTTTCATTTTTTTTTTAAATCTCAACTAAAAACACATTTCCTCCGGTTCAGTATGCTGCTGCTCTAACCACTTGAGCTATTGTGACTTCAATGTGGATCGAGGTCACGATATCTCAAGTGGTAGAGCAACGGCGTATCTAGCCGAAGATCGTGGGTTCGAATCCCGCTCGTGACAATGACTTTTTTATCTCAACAAAAAGCCTTAATTAATTGAAATTTATTAATAATATACACAATTTTAAGGACTTTCCCATATTGGTTTGACATTCCTACGCGCTCTTTATGTAGGGCCAAGGAGTTGCACTCTTCAATTAGGTGGAACACATTGAACCATCTTTCTCTACATACCGGATGTATTCGGTCTTTGGCTCAAAATTAAGTGTCTGTGTGTCAACCTCGCAAGGCCTATGCTTAATCGTGAGAGGACGGTCCTTCTTCTACAAGTCAGATTATTTGAGGCTCCTTATCTGCAGTGCTCTTGATACTTAAAAGTTTCTCTGCCGATCCAGCCCCGGTTTAATGATGTTTTACTGCATTTTTAGCATCAGAGTGCCGGGTCGTGGTAGTTAAGTCCGGAAGTTGGTACGTTTGCCTTAGCCGCCTCACCTGCTCTTTTCGTTACCCTCCAGAACAATGTGTCCGAGTACCCAGATCACCACCACCGTTTCGCCGAGGTAATCCGGTTCGTGGATATGGGTCCATGGTATTTCTCCAACAAGAGCACAACGAGGTACTTACTGTACTTTTAGGTAACTTACTTCTTCCTCGGTTTCAACCGTGAGAACTAGGTATTTAGAATATGATGACAATTTATTTATTTTTGGCGTGTTACATTTTTTCATTGGAGCTTTTCCTTTTTATTTTTTTAACTCTTTTTTATGCTTTTTTTATATCAAGAGGTTTGTTTAATTAATTCTTGTGGAACCCTGGCAAATTAGGATAGTCGATCCTTAATATTCGGAATTCGATATAGGAGTTCAACAGCGTTATTAATTAATTACTGGTAAAAGAAGGGAATAATTCGATTACAATGAAATTCGGAGATTGTTCAACGAGGCCGTAGAACGGGGATGGGGATGGAAGAACCATCAGCGTCCGAAGACTGTTGCACAAGAGTTCCCCCTCAAGTACCAACTCTATAAAGGATACCCGGGTTCTAGGACGCTCCATAGTCACTGTGATCATGCATCCGCACGGTCTGCTGACGGTGAGTAATTATTTCAGCACATTTATCTTCTTCTGCGAGAGAGAAAAAAACAATCAACAAAGTGCGTGCAAGTGAATTCTGACGTTTATCTTCGAGGATTACGCGACAGCCATCTGCGAACCATCGTTTATTGAAGTTTCACTGAAAATTATTTAATTATATTTTTAAAAAAACTGTCATTACTGACCTAATGATATAATCAAATGAGGAATAACCGGGAAAATTCTTCAGCATAGTCATAACGTAAAATAAATTTTCATTTAATTTCCTTCGCCTTCACTCGCAGATTCCACGCAATGTGATAACCGATAAATGAAGCAAAAGATCAAAGCAATAGCAAAGTTCAAAAAATAAATGTAATTTTAAATTAATTTTTTTATTAAGAAACATTCCCCGTAGTCTCTGGAATCATACGTTACACCAGCAGCCAAGTAAGTGTTCAGTGTACTTGAAAAACGCTAAATATCAATGATTTTCACAGAAAAATATTTTTGTTAAACAAATACTCAAATATTTTTTTTAGATGAGGAGGTGTGAGTGTAGGAGATATAAAAGTGAGTGCGTGAGTGTACGCCGATGATATTGTACTAGTTGCGGACAAACCTGTTACATTGTAATTAATCATCAAATCGTTGGGTGAATGCTGCGAGTTTTGGGGTTTGGTGGTCAATTAGAAAAGTCCAAAGGGAAGGAAATAGAATTAGTAAAAAATCGATAAATATTCACTGAATTTTGATGGTCATATTCGTGACAAAATCCGAACTAATTTCCACTTGGCAGAATGTTTCATTAAATCCCAAATACCTATGAAAAAACTTGGGGTGTTTTACGCAGCGTCTCGGACAGTCCTGCAGCCCAAGTTTTTTGTGAAAAAGGCTGTTCAACCTTCCTTACAATTCTTAATTATATTTTAAATTTGGATGTAGGAATGAATAGTATGTATATTCTATATGATTGCATTTAAAATACATTTCAAATATTTCAAAACTGCCTGATTATAAAGACTCCTAAAAATTATATGTAAAGAAATAATAAATAAAAAAATATTTTTCGGTTTAACTCATAGAAATTATGCCATTACGATATCAGCAAGTCGTTTAAACAAAAATTTAAACACAACGTGGGAACAAAATTTTAGTAAATTAATTTTCTATATAAGTTTAGAGAAATCGCAATGCAGAATAAAAGCTAGAAATGGGATTTTTCATAAAATGTACTACCGTGCTGATTATGTCACTTATTTACAGTCTAGATTGTTTGCTGAAGTTAAAATTATAAAGAAAGCAAGGAGTGAACAGTTTAATTTAAATTTTAGACCGTTTAGGCCAGATTTGTACCATCTTCGCTCATTGTGTAACATAAAAGAAATTAAATAAATAAAACATAAAATTGCAGTCTGCCATATTTTAAAGCCATGTAGTATAAAAATATTTTAAGACGGACTCTGAACTTAGTAATTAAAGACTGAGGTTTACTTTGTAAGTATTTAAAAGATGCATTATATTACAGAAATTTATTTGCCAGAGAATTTAATTATTAGTTGGAATTTATTTTATTTTATTTTTTTTTTTTTCATTGCGATTTAAAAAACAAAAGTTGTAGAGCACTCTGTTGTTGGATTAGTATCCAAGCAAAAAATGTTTTCGTTGAGATATTTTGTTCTATTTTCTAAATAGCTTTATTAATAAACAGAAATATTATTGTTATTATTATTAATCCTAAAACTATTGAGATTAATTATTTTAAATTATTGTTAAATTAAGATATCTAACATAAAAGAACTTTATTTGATTGATTAAACCATTCAATGTTTTGAGTCCAGAAAGTATCAAGGACAAGTATAACTGCGTATTACATAATACGAGAGGAAGGTTGATCGGATATGTATAAGATTAATGATATAAATGTAGATATATGTACAAACATTTGAGAAATAAATCACACATTGGGGGTAACAACACATTGAGGAAGTAGTGCGATCAAAAGAGTAAAAGAAAGAGCGAGTAGGTGCAAAAAGGAGAGGACAGTAGGAAAAGTTGAACAGAAAAGTGTATATAGGAGTTAAGAAGTGGAAATGAGAAAAAAAGCAAAGAGAAACCGAAAGTGAGAGAAAAAGATAAAGAAAGATAGAGTACAGTTATAAAATGAAAAGAAGACTAGAAAACAAAGTAGTAATGAGAGAAAAGTTGATAGCAGAAATCAATGGAAAACGGTAAAGGGTAGTAAAAGGTAGTAAAAGAAAAGAGAGAAGATAAACCATTTATGTTTAGAGGTATTATCTCACCAAATTACTTACTTCAATTAATTATTCTTTTTATCTAAGGTCTTGGTTGAGATAAAAAAGTTAGGGTCTCGAGCGGGATTCGAACCCACGATCTTCGGCTTCGTGACTCTAACTTTTTCATCTCAACCAAGACCTTACATAAAAAGAATTATTAATTGAAGTAAGTAATTTGTTCAAATTAGACAAATAAACATAAATGAATTAATATTTAATAAGTAAAGAAATATCTCTTCACTAACAGCTCCCCGTGGACTTCATAAGTCGCTGAGAATCGAATCTTGATTATACGACATTTGAAAAATGACATAAAAGAGGGAAAATTCGAAAGGTTGAAGGTTGAGATGGGGAGTTGGTGTCCGAGTGGATCGAATTCGCGGCAGCTCAAGTGGGTAGAGCAGTGCGTATTAGCCGAAGGTCGTGGGTTCGAATCCCGCTTGTGACACTGACTTTTTTATTTCAACTAGAAACCTTAATTAATTGAAAGGTATTAATTTGTCAAGCGGACCAAGAAAACTAGTGAATAAAACAATTATTTACATTATCTTCCTGTATTCATGTGTATAAATTAAATCTCTATAATTTTAATTAACATGAACAATACGAGAGAGAGGGTATACAAATGTAGGAAACAGCGTAACAAATAAATCGGAAACAAATGTAAAAACAATCGTATGTATGAATAAATAGATATTTAGAAACGTGAGTGGTGAGTGTATGTATTTTTGTTCCCTTTTCCTAGTTATTACACTAACCAAGATATTACCTTTGTTAAATTAAATTCCAATTTTCCCGATGTTTAAATTGTTGTTTAATTTTTTTGATCGTGCTTGTGTTTCCAACTGTTATAATCACTTATTTTGTTTACTTATCTCGTATTTTCCCCTGGGATTTCTCATTATTTTCCTCCAGCTCCACAATCTCTTCTCGTATATTAAATTGGTGTTTTTTCATTGTTTTCATATTTGTGTATCAATTATGATTTTCCTAGAGTGTTTTTTCCATTTACTCTTCTTATTCTGGTTTGTTATCCAACTGTACTATTTTTCTTGTACTTCAAATTAATGTTTCTTTCTTTCTCTCCTATACCTCTGTTTCTCTCTATATAATTGCTTATCTGCCATTCAGCCAAAGTTATCTTTGCACTTATAGTATAAATATTTTTCTGTATCGATCACTATATTTTCCTTTTTCTGTCACATAGACATCTTTTCTCTAAAATTATCTGAGGTTTATTTAACTTTTTTAAATTGGTGTATTAAGACCCATAGAAAGGCAGCTTTGTGTGTGATAGTCATAGCCTTGATTCATTCTTATCGTGGTTATTTTATTTAAAAATATTAAAATCCAAAATTTGATGCTCTGCGTTTTAAAAAAAAATAAAACTAGGCACGTTCGACATGGCGGTCCCACGACAAAGTCTCAATTGTTAAGGTAATAGAGAAAAAAAGTGAACACATTTCCAGGGAAAGTCTAAAGGGAACTAATCGTAAGTTCCTGAGATTTACCCCTTAAACGCACATTTACATAACAACAGGAATTGTGTGAAACACGTGGGTAATCTGCAGTTAAGGCAGTTACGTATCCTGTCTTCATTTGCAGTTTTGCTGTTCCGACACCAAGGTCGGTTGTTAGACTAATTCGTCTCATTAGAAATAGAACATGAACACAACGGAAAACCGGTTTTGGGAAAAACATCAGACAACACAAAAGCAATTATAAAACTATTTAGGTAATGTTTAGGGGTTTGAAAGCAATTGTCACGTCGAGGATTGGTGTTTTATTCATTACCCTAATGAAAAGTGACAATGGATTTTATTTTTTAAACCCTTCATAAAATTTAACAACAAGAGAGACAGTGTGTATAAGTTAAAGGGAGAGAGAGATTGTCAATAACGAAATTTATAGTTGGATAGATAGCAATAGAAAAAAGAAGATAAACTAAAGCAAAAAAGAAAGTAGATAGTAGTAGATACAAAGAAAGAAAGAGTATCTGAGAATGAAATGGCGAAAATGTGAGAAAGACCGATAGTGTGATAGTTGGATGGATTAATATAATAGACATATAAAAAGGACATATAAAAATCGTGAAACGGAAACCTAGTTGGATTGGAGAAAGAGAGAGGGAGGAGAGAAATAAATAGTTGGATAGATTGACAGGTAAATAGTAGAAAGAAAGAAAGAGAGAAAGAGTGTGATATTTAGGTAGCTAGGTTGTAGATAGATAGGTGTATACATAGACGTAGAAATATTATATTGATAAACATATAAAAAGAGAATGATATAAAGAGTGATAGAGAGAAAGTGAAAAAGAGCGAAAGAAAGAGGGAAAGAGAGTGAGATATTTAGGTAAATACATAGGTAGAGCAGCAGCAGCAGTAGTAGTAGAAAAAGAAGCAAAGAGAGAGTGAGAGAGAAAGAGAGAGAGAGAGAGAGAGAGAGAAAGAGAAAAAGAGCAAAAGAAAGAAAGAGGGAAAGAGAGTGAGATATTTAGGTAAATACGTAGGTAGTTAGAGCAGCAGTAGTAGTAGTAGTAGAAGAAAAAGAAGCTGAGAGATTGAGAGAGAAAGAGAAAGAGAGAAAGAGAAAAAGAGCGAAAGAAAGAGGGAAAGAGAGTGAGATATTTTGGTAAATAGGTAAGTAGTTAGAGTAGCAGTAGCAATAGTAGTAGTAGTAGTAGTAGTAGTACTAGTAGTAGTAGTCGTAAGAGAGAGAGAGA